CGTAACGCTGTTTTAAGTACTTCTTGTAGGGCTGTTCTTGTCTTGGTAAATTATCTGAGCCTTTGCTTGTCTGAGAATGTTTTTATTTCTCCTTCATATATGAAGCTTATTTTTGCGGGGAATAATATTCTAGGCTGGGCATTGTTTTGTTTCAAAAGAGTGAGAATGTGGCCCCAGTCTCTCCTTCCTTGTAAAGTCTCATTAGAGAAGTCTGATGTTATTCGAATTGGCTTTCCCTTGTATGTTATTTGCTTCTTTTGTCTTACAGCTCTTAGAAGGGCCTCTTTAGTTGATACTTTGGTCAGTCTGATGATTGCATGTCATGAAGTCTTCCTGTTTGCGTTGAATCTCCCAGGGGTCCTCTGAGCTTCCTGAACTTGTATATCAAGATTTTGAGCAAGGCCTGGGAAATTTTTCTCTATTATATTTTCAAACAGCTTGTCCAACCCTTGAGTGTTGTCTTCTTCCCCTTCCTGTAAACCTATGACCCTCACATTGGGTTTCTTCACATAATCCCACACCTCTTGTAGGCTTTGCTCTTTTCTCTTGTTTCTCTGCTCTATTTCTGTGACTGATTTATTTAATTGGAGGGTGTTATCTTCAAGCTCTGAGATTCTTTCTTCTGTTTCATCCACCCTGTTCTTGAGACTTTCCACTGTATTTTGTAGTTCCTTGAATTGATTCTTCATTTCCAGGAGTTTGGTTACTCTTTTCTTCATTGTGTCTATTTCTTTTTCCAGATCCTGGAGGCTTTTTGTGGTTTCTTTGTGTTGGTTATTGAGTTGTTGTTGCAGCTGGGTGAGTGTTCTTATGATCCACGTATGAAATTCCTCTTCTGTCATATTGGTTGCCTGATTTTGGTTGGTGTCCATTTCTAGGGGGCTGGTGCTCCTCTTTGGGGGTGCGTTTACCATTTGGTTCTTCATATTTCCTGAGTTCTTTCGCTGATTTCTTCCCATGTCGATCAGTTGTTGTTTCTTTCCTTAAGTTATTGTTTGGGTATTCACACACCTTGTTTAGTTTCTGAGGTGTTAGGTGGTGTATGTGGGTGAAATTGGACCACTCCCTGTATATTGAGTCAGTGGGTGCCATGAAAAGGCTGTGCAAGATGCCGTCCCTGTCAGTAGGTGGCGTTTGCTTGGGGGATCAAGCTATGCAGTTGATTTTGTGTAAGCCTGTGCTCAGGCCGTTAGCAGGGGTCAAAGTTCTGTTCTCTGCTTCCAGGGAAAGCTGTCAGGGTGGGGCTGGAATGGTCCTGCTCAGCCAGAAAGTCTGCCTGTGGGGGTGGGGCTGTCTGAGACCTGCAGTCTGGAGCGGGCCTCAGTCTTTCCACCCTCCCCAAATCCGCAGCTACTCCTGGGCCTCTGCCAGCAGGCCAGACCACAAGCCACCAGGCCTCCCTGGACTGTGATGCCGGCGGGGAGGTTCCCTGCACAGGAACGCCACCTGGGTTGGGCGCACGGCCTCCTCCTTGGAGGAGGGTTGCCCTCTAGGATGCCAATCCGCCGCTGGAGGCACACACGCCTCAGTAGGCTGTTCAAGTATAACCCTTCTGTGCCCGGGGCAATGCTAGCCCTTGGTGCAGGGGATCTGGTCTGCAGGTCTGTCCTATGGGTCCAAGAGTTCAAACTGTATCCCCACCAGGGAGAGGATTTCCGGGCCCAATTCACCCACAGGGAGCCCATGCTCGATCTATGTCTCTCTGACTCTGAGTCGTCACCATTCTCCTGGGAACACCGTGCCAGCAGCAACTGGGAGGACTGGCAGGTAGGGCGCTCACAGTCTGAATTCCCCTGAGTCAGCTGTGGAGTCCCAAAAGGGAAGGTCCCGTTCCCTGGATGTGCCTCTGGCTGGTGGCTGTATTGTCTCTCTGGGCAGCCGCGGGTAGGGTAGGCGGAGGGGAGGAGGAGGCAATAGGCGCCTGCCTGGCGGCTCGGGTCTATGCACACGGAAGTGCCCAGAGGAAGTTGGGAACCTAGTGCCACATCTGCTACAGGCTCACCGCTGGCTGGTGGCTGCCGTCTCTGGGCTGATGTCTGCAGTTCTCTCTACCCGCTGGGGAGCCCACCAGTAGTCCCAAATTCAGGGGAGGGGAAACAGCAAATCCACCTACCCTTGCCGCTGGTCTCCGGGCTGCTCCGGTGGTCTCAGCCTCTAGTTCTCCTCCGCAGCCTTTTCCCGTGTAGTCTCCCGGGGTCTCAGGTACCCCTCCTTCAGGCCCACGTCCACTGTATGCTCGTGTTCTTGCTTCTTCCCTCTAATTTCTGCTAGAACCTGTCTTTTCTGCAGATACACTCTGTCTGGCGGTGTTATTCGTCTGCCATCTTGCTCCGCCCCCCTCTTGTGACAGTTTTGACTTAAAGTATATTTTAAAAATTATAACGTTTTTCACTTTAAAATAATGTGCCTAATATAATTTTGAACTCCACTGCTCTTTGATGCTAAATGTTTTTCTGATATATCTTGCTATATCCTGCCAGTTGTAGTCTATTGTTCTCATCAAGTATGAAGTCAAGTCGCTTTACATGGAATATAGTTGGATTTTTTTTAACTCTTTATGTAACTGTGCCTTCTGACTGGAAACAGTAGTACATAAAAATTTACATAATTTTCTCAAAGGAAGGACTTACAATTTCTCTTATATTAATTGTTTTATATAACTTTTGTCACTGTCTTTTCTTTCTTTCCTCTCCCTCTGTCCTGCATTGTGCCTCACTGATTTTTAGTGACATATTTTGTTTCTTTGCCTAGCTTTCTTTTTTCTCTATAAACATTTTTTTCTGATGTTCCCTGTGAGAACTATATAAAACCTTTTGAACTTGCAACTTATGTTAAATGAATAACTACTTCAGTTGCATATAAATATTCTTAATCTTTACATCTGCCCCTACCTTTATGATATCGATGTCAGTAATTATGTCTTTTTATATTGTATAGAAATTAACACATGGCAATGATCATTTTTTTTTATTTTGCCTTTCAAATTTATAACACAATTAAATATTTTGCACCATCATTATGATAATGCAGAATTTTATTCTTAATATATGCTTATTTTTCTAAGAGAGTTATGTAGTTGTCAAGGGAGGTGGAAACCAGCCTTTGGAAAGGCCACAAAAAACACATGTGTGGACATATGCCCATAGTTTCATTCTCTTTTGAAAGGGAATCCAGGAGATGGGATTTTACTACTAAAGTGATAACTCAGTGTCAGCATGGAGGAAGGGCTTTGGTGGGTAAATGCAACAAAGTTTCCTTCCCCTTCCTGTGGTTCTTGGTGTTTTTCTCAATTGGGGTGCTATGAACTATTAGCAGTTATGATTTCTAAAAGAATCATGGTTGTAAGTATATTTTTAAGATCATACATCTATGATGCAAGTAAGACCATGGTATTCTATTGTGCTTTCTTGCTAATGTGCTTTGTATAGTTTTATATATTCAAATTGTGAAGTATATTCACCTGAGTCTGGTTAGTGAGATACTTTGTTATTTTCATTTCTTTCAGAACTATCTCACTATTGCACCAAAGACCTATTACCAGAGCAGGGCACAAAAGACCCCTTTCAGAAATCAATAACGAGACTATATGGAAGCTTTTACCTTAAAAATATATACTTAAGAAGAGATGGGGAGTGTTTGGCTGAGTGTAAGAAGCAGAAAGTATGTTCTGATGGTCTTACCCAATGTTTGTCAACTTTCCATAGAAAAATCTTCAAAAGTGACAAATGTATAAAAGTCTTTAGCAAATCATCAAATCTATATAGACAAAAGACAAGACATACTGGAGAGAAAAGTTTCAAACTTAAAGAATGTAGCAAAACATTTAACCACAGCTCTAACTGTTTCTGGCAGCATACGAAAAATTCATACCCGCATCCTACAAGTGGCGAAGAATGTGGCGACCTTCTTTAACTGTTCGCTCAAAACCTTTACATTATGACAACGGAGAATTCACACTGGAGACCAACCCTACAGAATGGTGAAGCTAGTGTGGTAAAAGGCCTTTACCCCAGTCCATACCCTTCTCACACTAAAACGAATGCCCACGGAGACGAACCTCCAAATGTCGTTGACAAAGCCTTGTATCTCAATCCTTAGTCAACCACCGAAACTCACTGGCGAGACAACCCTACACTGGCCTTTACCAGTTCCCATCCTTCCATAAAAGAATTCATACTGCGAAAAACTACACTGTTCCTTTACGTGGGCCTCCGAGAGCGCCGGGCGCGGCGGAGCGAGCAGTAAACATTCCATACCTCTCACCGTCGAAGAAGTCGTGCACGGCGGTCTCAAACTCCTACTCATTCATCCACCTGAAGAAACCTACCAAATCTGAAACCGTGCTTCGTGTCCCAACTCATACTAGATTCAACTGGGAGGTATGAACCAGCCCTGAAATGGTTGTAGAGATGCGTCTTCCGCGCGGAGACTCCATAACATGAATCGCCATACAGGAGAGAACACCATCAGACAAATGTGCGAGAAATGTGGCAAAGCATTTCCCAGTGCTCACCACCTTAATCTTCCTGTCAGGAGACGCATCAACAGAGAAAAATCCATGAATGTGAGAATTGTGGCAAAGTCTTTAATAACCTGCTCGCATTTTATTCAACAGCCAACATAGAATTAATACTAGATTAAAAGTGAGATAGAATGTTAATGAGTAATGGAACTGCTTTCCTAAGTATCTCCAGGCTGCTAAAATGCACAACAGTACTAATACTTAAAGTAAACAATCATGAGCATGTACGAGTGCTGACAATACTTTAGTTACAACAAGAGATGCTTATTGACATGGGAGAACTTACCACTTAAAAAAAATGGGCTCGCAATATTTCTCCAACATTGCTCAACATCACAAAAATTTAAGAGATATGACACCTTACAATATTAATGAATGTGAAAAAATATTTCATGGCAAAAAATATACCGTTAGAGAACCACAAGAATTGAATAGTTAAAATTATCTAGCAGATATACATGAAATTTCAGAACACATTTCAAGAAGAATCAACGTCTAAAACACAATATCAGAGAGCTCAGAGTGTAAACACTAATGCAGCTAAAGCACATTCACAGATTTCTTTAAAGCCAGGTTGTTTGATTACAGAGTAACCACCCCAGTAAAATAGTTCAGTTGATTTACTTGATGTCAGCTTAAAAAAGAGAGAGTTTTGTGAGAGTTATAATTACATGTAAAAAATATTTCTGTGCACGGTAGGGTAAGCAAATAAAAAAGGTATAATTTTTTTTCTTTTTGACAAGCAGCATACTACAATGTTAGTTTGTTACTTCAACTTTAAATACAGTAGATGTTATGTTTTCATTTTTAGCCGTGTATTGTGATGTGCTGTGGCTACATGATAGCTACATCGCATTATTAGTATCTTTGTGTTCCAGTACGGCATTCATTCATCGTACTTTTTCGCATGGAAATTAAAAATCACTGAAATGTAAGATTATGAATCGGAGAAGGTATCATGGATATTTTATTGATAACAAACAGTATTTGCAAGTGATGGTTGACGTAAGGTATACGACAATATTCTTTTCATTATACATCAAAATGAAATTAGAAATATTAAATTAGCTTGTTTTAATATGTAGCATTATGATAGATAGAATAACATCGAAATGAAATTTGGAAATATTTTTAGATTGAGCATGTAAACTTAATTTTGTTTCATTAAATTAAAAGTAATTTTAATGTGTCAAACATGTGTTAACTTCGAATAACGTGTATATTTGGCAGCGGCCTACAATGTAACCTAGTCCCATGTTAGCTCAGACAAAGTTGGATGTAACTGAGGGTTGTAAACAATGTACTGTGGGGCTTACCACGGAACCGAAGACATCCACTTGTGATCCTTCTTTATCCAGCTGCGTCTCTACTTGAAGAATCAATGTTCCACAAAGGTCTTTTCATGACAATATGTCATAACGCGCATGTAGCATTGTCCTATAAATCGGCTTATCAATTAAAGCATTTTGTACTTAATGTAAAGCCATACATTCTCTTAACCAC